GGATTAAAATATTTTGCCTTGGATCTCTGATGAGCTAATGGGCTAGGCAGTAGAGGTGGAAGCATGTGCAGCAGGGGATCTGAAAGGGTAGCAGCTGGCCTCCTCTGCCCTGGCAGCTTTTCTGGGACACTTCCCCCCTTGAACAGTGCGTTGTTGGAGTGATGGCGGAAGGATGGTGGAATTGATCTCGTGCCCTTAATCCTGCCAAGCGTGTCCTTGCCAAGACTTGTCAACGGCAGATTATTGTGCTGCCGTGCCGCTTCCTGAAAGGTGCTAACATCCAGCCTGCAAGCTTCTGAGCACTTGGATGAGCTACAGTAGGTAAGGTGATAGGAAGAAGCTGTTACCTGGACTGCTCTGCTTCATTAGCTGCATCTGAGCAAAACTCTGAAATTCCATAGGAGAGAGATTCTTTTGTCACAGAGATTTTAAGTCCCTGTCATAGCAAGATGCAATGAAGGCCAGCGCTGTGCCGCCTTTTTATGGAGCGGGGCTTACGATTTCTCTCTTTTTCTTTTCTTTTTTTTTTGTTTTTGTTTTAAAAAAATATTTTCTTATCTATTTATTTCGAGGTGAAGGCCTTTAACAGTATGAAGTCCTGGCATTTTTTGTAAGTGTTCCAAGCTTTGTCTTTTTTTATTTCCAACTGGATGATGAAGACTTGATTTCTGGTATTTAAAAATAAAATCTGGAGAATGTTTAATTCTTGTGCCTTTTTGAGCCCACTGGAAGAGCACCCAGGAAAAATAGGTGGGAAACGTAACATGTTAAATTAACAATAAAATTATGTTTGGAGGGTATGATTCCTGTTTTGTTTTCCAGAGTTCTCTGACCTGGGTTAGATCGGTTCTGCTGTGACTGCAGGGAGTTATTTCCTGCTTTCTCCTCTTACCCTGATAGAGAGCAGGGCACTGGAATTTTGTGCACTGAAATACCAAAGCAGTTATCAGAGATCTGGGGGCTGGGGCGAAAGGCACAATAGAAATGTGCTGAGGAGTTTTAACCAACACAACCTGGGACGCAGGGCACAGATGACGAGAGCCCGGGGCCGGTTAACAGCTGGAGTGTTGGCTGGCAAGGTGGTCTCCTGGGCTATGTCTACCCTGGTGGCTTTTTGCGCAAGAACATCTTGTGCAAGGGTTCTTGTGCAAGGAGTCTTGTGCAAGAAAAGGTCCACACGGCCATGTGCGAGCTGTGCTTTTGAGCAAGAGCGCCTATGGCTGTGTGGACTCTCTCTTGGCAAGAAAGCTCTGATGGCCATTTTAGCCATAGGGCTTTCTTGTGCAAGAAACCCCTGCCGAGCGTCCACACTGCCCTCTTGTGCAAGAGCTCCTGTGCAAGAGGGCTTACACCTGTTACAAAAGAGCGTAGCTCTTGTGCAGGAAGCCCTCTCTTCACACGCCGTACTGCACATTTCCTTGCGCAAGAGCAGGCGGGCAGTGTGGCTGCTCTGCGGGTTCTTGCGTACTAGCAGCCATACTTGCGAAGAAGCCTCGAGTGTAGATGTAGCCTTGGGGTGGTGAGAAGAATGAATTGGGCAGAACGTTCTGAATGCAGCGTTGACGGGCCAGCCAGTCGCATAGAATGGCTTATACTCTACCTCAAGTGTTAACTCTCCCCTGCCTCCCCGTGCAGCCCCCTCCCAAAAAAGGGCAGTTCCACCTGTCTCTGGCTGAGGACTCAGTGCAGAAGTGAGACTCCTGCACCCTGGCGCCTCCTGCTGGGGAGAGGTCAGAGCCCCCCAAGGGCCTGATCTGAGACTGGGGGAAAGGCTCCTGTTGTGCATAGTGGGCTTGGAAGTAGCTACATGTGAGGCACGTCCAGCTGCACTGATTGGACAAGCAACTCCTCTGCCCATCTGCTTGCCCTGCCATAATCTCCCTCTTGCTGCTAATCTGCTGCTGTGGCAAGTGGCTGGCAAGGGGAGAAGGGAAAAGCCACTTTCGAAGGGCGAGGAAGGGAGTAGGGTTGGGAGGATCCCGAGCCCTGGGGTCTCCTGCTGGATTATTTAAGGACCCCTTGTGCCCGTGAGGCTTTAGACCCCGTGCAGTGTCTCCAGGCTGGGCCCTTTTGCCCTAGAAGTGAAAACCGTTTTTTACACGATGCCCACAACTGTGCTGAGGGCCCCATGTACAAAGATACAGGCTGTGCTCCCAAGGGTACCAGTCGTACAGTCCAAGGCCCTGATCCTGCAGGTTCCTAGGCGTGAGCTGTGACTGGGCCAGCTGAGGGGGTGGCTTGTCCCTGGGGGCAGTATTTCCCAGTGGCCATCCCTCCCCTGGCAGAGCAGGTCCTGGCAGATGGCCGAATCTGAGGCAGTTTGAGTTCGGATGATTCATGCCCCAGCCCCCTCTGCTGGCCTGTGGAGGATCCGGGGCCGTGCTACCTCTCTGGAAGTGTTACACCCTGACTGACTCCTCCCCTCCAGGGGGACTGTGCTTATCCCCCCTTCTCTGCCCCCAATGGAATTACTGGCAGGCCCTGCCCCATAGTGCTACATAAGCAGTATCTAGTGAGGGCTCCAAGGATGTTGGGAGCAATTGTGTGCTCTCTGTCACCGGGGGAGGGGAGAATTGTAGCTCCTGAGGCTAAGTGGTCATAAGAGGCAGGTGTCGTTTCTCCCCCCACACGCCCACTAAACACTTAGGATTTCAAAGGTCACGTGTCTCAAGGATGGGTTTGACTCCTTCCTTGGGAAAGGGTCTGGGGGGGCCGGGTCCCTGAGGAATGGAGGTAAGTCATAGCCTGAGAATTCAAATCCGTGAAATCCGGAGCATGCAGCCCAGTCCTCATTAAGCCTTAGCGCTGGCCAGTTGACCCAAGCCACCCGCGAGAGAGACCCCTTCCCGCCAAGTCCAAATTTATGAACAAAAATGAGCAAGCCCTGGGACAACGTGGCTGACTCGGCATTGGGTTCTGTTTACCAGCCTCCCTGTGGGGTCATAACCCCTAGCAGCTAAGGAGCTTACGGAGGGAGGGCAGCGCGCTGGAGAAGTCAGTGACCTTGCCCAACAAGAGACAGCCCTGGCAGCGTGCACCGAGCTCTATAGTAACCAGCCCAGGGACAGTCACCAACAAGCCAGCAAGCCTCTGAGCAACCAAACCGGATCAGAGCGATCGCTGCAGGTGAGTGCGGCGTCCTGGCGCTGCTCCTCTACCATGAGGGTGGGAGGTTTAACTCAGATTGCGCTCGGTGGCTGGAGAAGGGGCCATCTGGTGCCTGCTAAGGAGGGGTTAAATCCAGCTCCGCTTCCCTCCACCTCCTGAACTGGTGTGCAGGGAAAGGGCTCTGACCGGGGCTGCTTTGGAGGAATTCCTTACGGAGTCTCCCATTCCCTTCCTGCTGCCGCTCTTTGATGTCTTGTTAATATTTCTCCTCAAGCATCAAACCTCCATAATTATAACTGGTCTGGTGTCTGCCGGGCCCCCCGACCAGGTCAACACAACTCTGGGAGGAGAGGGGGTCGAATCCGTCTCTGCCGATGGAAAACTGGTCAGGGTGTCAATCCCCCTTTTGTGAAATCCAGAGGGGATGTGTCTGAACAGCTGGTACAAATGTCCCGCAGAGGAATCGCATGAGCTTGGGGTTCTTGGAGGTTCCTGGTTAGCAGAGGCAAAGGAATAGAGGGGAGGCTTTTTAGGCAGAACTAGGATTTTATTGGTGCATTTCATATTGGCTGTTGCTGGAGGTGTTTGGTTAGGGCCACGTTAAAATACAGGTCAATCCTGACCCCAAGCCCAGCTTCGGTCAGCACTAAGAGGGGGTGTTTACACGGCACACTGCCATGCTAGGGGCAGCATGATTCCAGCAGTAACAGAGTAGGCACTAGTGCAGACCGCTGCCTGAGCCTCGTCTACACCAGGGCGCTTTCTGATGATCTCCCCAGCCCCCTTGTGCCACGTGCACACACGGGCAAGGCCCAGCGTGAGGAGGTAGGGATGTAAAAAATGAATGAAAATATTAAGCATGTAGCCAATATAAGTTACCACTTGGTTAACCGCTCCTGGCCCCAAGGGGCTGCCGGATGCCCACATCTAGACGGGCATGGTTTTCCGGAAATGCTTTTAACAGAAAAGTTTTCTGTTAAAAGCATTTTCGGAAAAGAGCATCTAGATTGGCACGGACGCTTTTCCGCAAAAAAAGACCCAATCGCCATTTTCGCAATCGGGGCTTTTTTGCAGAAAACAAATCGGAGCTGTCTACACTGGCCCTTTTGTGCAAAAGTTTTGTGCAAAAGGACTTTTGCCTGAATGGGAGCAGCATAGTATTTCCGCAAGAAGCACTGATTTCAGACAGTAGGAAGCCAGTGCTTTTGCGGAAATTCAAGCGGCCAGTGTAGACAGCTGGCAAGTTTTTCCGGAAAAGCGGCTGATTTTCTGGAAAAACTGGCCAGTCTAGACACAGCCGCAGGGTTTAACTGTTCATGGTAACCGATCAGCATCAACTCACTGGCTGCCCAGTTAAACTCCTACCTCCCTATCGGGGGGAGGAAGCAAGGCAGCTGCCCAGGGCTGCAGGCCGCAGGGGGGTCTGTGATGCTACGTCACCAGGCTTCCATCTTGGGTAGTGGAGCTTGGGCCTATGGGCTTCCATCCCAGTGTTGGGGCTTCGACTCTACCCTGGGCTCCAGCATTGCCCGTCCTGCTTGGCTGCTCCCCTGAAACCTGCTGACAGCCCCCGGATGAGAGCTGCCGGTTTACCCCACCACCGTCCGTCACTAGCCCCGGGGAGCTGCCCCTATTACAAATGGCTGAGCGGTTGGTTTGCCCACACAAAGCATCCTGGGTACCGTGCTCCATGCTGGGGCCTGTGCCCACTCGGCTTCTCAGCAGGGGCAGGCTCAGCCCCACTTGGCTGAGACCCCTTCAGGGCACCCCCATGGCCATTCTCTAGGTGGCGCTCTTCCCTCTGACTGACAGCTGACCCAGGCTGAGTCTGCCTTACGCAGGAGAGCCCATTATTAAAAGACCAGTGACAGTTTTCTTCTCTTTGCTCATGAACCGGAGTGTTAACTTGGTCCCCCGCTTTGCCTGAGAACGGCTCACACGTTGTGTTCTCGTAACCCCGGTGACGGCCAGAACTGAAGCTGGTGGGGCAAGATTTCTGTCTCTGGCCAGGCCTTCGTGCATCGCCGGTTCCCCGTGTGATCGTTCACTAGTTTCGCTTCCCAGCTCATGCCTGGAGCATTTTTTGTAGCACGTTTGGTTTCATGGAGGTTAGGTCCATAAAAGGCCATTAGCCAGGGGATAAAATGGTGTCCTTGGCCTCTGTTTGTCAGAGGCTGGAGAGGGATGGCAGGAGACAAATCGCTTGATCATTGTCTTCTATCCACCCTCTCTGGGGCACCTGGTGTTGGCCACTGTCGGCAGACAGGCTACTGGGCTAGATGGACCTTTGGTCTGACCCAGTACGGCCATTCTTATGTTCTTATGTTCTTATGCTGCCACGTCTGGGGTTGCGTCCACTAGCAGACAGGTGCAGGGACGAAGTTCCCAGAGGCCCTGGCCAGTGGCTCTTAGATTGCACGATCAGAGTTTAATTTACAGCAAATGGATGTAGACGGGAAACTGTTTGGCGCGGGGGAAGGGGGATTCACTCATCCCCAGCTAAGTGTTTGCCAAAAAATACAGCACTAGGGCTGCAGTTGCTTGGGGAAAGACTGTCGCGTCTTTTACTCCATCGAGGCAGGACAGTGGCTCCTTCCGTAGTCCCCAGCCCGCCGCAGGGTTTGACAGTGGAATCAGAGAGGAGGCAGACTCTGAGCAAGGAGAGCGTGTGCAGAAGGTAGACGACTCTCGGGCCGATCCCAGGTTAATGCTGGACTCTGCATCTCTTCAGTGCTGGTGCTGTGGCCAGGCTGAAGCTGCCCTCACCCCCACCCCGACGGGACTGCTGGCTCCCAGCCCATGTGAGCAACTATGGGTGGCCAGCCTGGCCTGCCCACACTGCCCCCAGAACGCCTTCCCCCCCCGCGCTCTGGGGCTGGGGAGGGCAGGCAGTGCACAGCCTGCCCTCCCCGTGATGGGGGTGTGGCCTGGGCAGAAGGTGTGGGGCGGGGTGCTGGTGTTTGGGGCTTGCCTACCTTCACCAGATGCTCATGGGGGCCGTGGCTGGGGGGCTGCTTCCCTTGTACCAGTTACTTGTTAACACTCCTATCCCAAAGGTGGCTGCATTTCTGCACCCTGTGTGTTCCTACATCTATGCTGCAGGCTTCTTGCACAAGAACTTTCTGCAGAAGAGATCTTCCGCAAACCGTTCTTGCGCAAGCGCGCGTCCACACCGCCATGTGCTTTTGCGTAAGGGAACATCCACACTGCAATGGATGCCCTTGCGCAAGAAAGCTCTGATGGTCATTCACAGAATGGTCATCAGAGCACCTGTTGTTTTTTCCATCCACACACGACTTTTTGTGCAAGAGTTCTTGTGCAAAGAGGCTTATTCCTCCTAGAATGAGGGAATCCTCTTGTGCAAAAAGCCCCGTCTTCTGACACTTTACTGTACTTTTTCTCGTGCAAAAATGTGCTTGTAGTGTGGACGCGCCGCAAGTTTTTGCGCAAAAACTCTGCAGTGTAGACATAGCCTGAGGGCTACACATGAAAAGCTCCGTTTGTATCTTAATAACTTGCTGGGGAGTTCTATTGCGGCAAATGTTTGAGAGCTGAATTCAGGACCGGCCACTGAGATGCATTTAATCAAGAAACTGAACTTGTTTGGAAGGAAAGGGGGACGTAAATAATAAAGGAAAGTCGTCATCCAATCAGAGGGACAGAAATTACTACACCATACAGCTCAAATAGCTGAATATGAAACGATCAAGCAACCAGTTTCTCCAAAGCGGGGGTGGGCAAAATACGGCCTGCAGGCTGGCGACGGGTTGCCAAACATTTGGATCAGGGCCAATCAATGGGCGCTCAGGCAGGCTCCCTGGCCTCCGTGTCCTCCACCTCTCCCCTTCAGAACTCAAAACAGATGTGTCTGTGTGGTGCACCCCGTGGGAGTAGAGGAGTCTCTGTGCACTGCCCCCTGCCCCCAGTACAATCCTTGTAGCTCCTATGGGTTGGACACCAGAGCTGCAGGAGTGGTGCTGGGAGGGGGGGATCTGCTGTCCCGTCCCTGTGCAGACACACACATGCTGCCCCCGCCCCAGTCAGCCCCAGGGGGTGGCAGGTGGGCGGGGGGCCTGCCCCAGGGTCCCACTGGGCAGCTGGCTGGGAGCTGCCTACGGTAAGTGCCTCCCAGCCAGAGCCTGCATCTGGCACCCCACTCCCTCCTGCACCCCAACCCACTGCCCCAGGTCACAGCTTCCTCCTGCATCCAAATGCCTCTCAGATCTTGCATCCCTCCTGCCCCCCTTCCACAGACCAGAATCCTCTGCTGCCCCCAACCCCCCCAGACCCATTACCGAGCACCCCCCGCCCAAAGCACCGGGCGCGCCAAGGTGCTTGTAAACATGTGGAGCTCGCTAGCCAACACAGGTGTGACATTTGCGATGTGAACAGAAAAGTAACAAGCAGAAAAAAAAGGCTACGTTCCTCGAACACATTGTAACTGCCCACTGTCGCCAGCTCCCTGAAACGGGGCAGTGCCGGGAAATCCGGCAGGTCTCCTGGGCTCCTTGGAGGGGCAGGACACAGCAAGGTGCTTGTAAACATGTGGAGCTCGCTAGCCAACACAGGTGTGACATTTGCGATGTGAACAGAAAAGTAACAAGCAGAAAAAAAAGGCTACGTTCCTCGAACACATTGTAACTGCCCACTGTCGCCAGCTCCCTGAAACGGGGCAGTGCCGGGAAATCCGGCAGGTCTCCTGGGCTCCTTGGAGGGGCAGGACACAGGCCTGCCAGTGGCTGCCTTGTGCAGCGGGGCAGTTTGCCAAGCGCGGGATGGAAAGGGGACGCACGCTCTGGAGGACCGAACGGCTTTTAAACGGCCGTGTAACGTGCAGGCAGAGGGATGGCTCTGCTAGTGTGCGAAACTCTCCTGACTCGTGCCTGATCCTGGTGAAATGGGCTGGCACAAGGATCGGAGTCCTCGCTGCCTCTCCCCAGAGGCCTCCCTGCCCTCGAGGGCCCGCTCTGCTCTCCGGCGTGGCTGAGTCCTTGAACCCCAGCAAGGCTGGGCCCAGG